ACAACCCTTTTCGTTCTCTTTCTTTGGCATTGGGCACAGAAGCCATTCCGCGCTTTTCAGATTTTTGGAAAAACCCACTTTTCAAGTCGATAAAATACTGAAGCGTGGCAGTTGAGTGGTCCGGACGAGTTGTCCGTCCGCAGCAGGATAGAGCGGTTGCGGCCTGTGCGCTCTAATGCCAATGGGATCGTGCATATGACCCCCTCCCCATCAGAGTACTTGAAGACAGGATCGGATCAAATCTGGGATATCTCGCCGCAATTGATAGGGTAGGGATAGAAAGGGACGCAAGCGGAGAAAAGAGAGCATTGTCATACGTAGATGTACGGGTGTTCGCTTTTTGCTGCGAAGGAGTTTAAGAATCAGACAGCGGAATCAGAGATACTGGAGCGTTCAGAGTTGGCGATCGCACGTGCGAGGCGAGTAGGCGATCAGGCGATTAGGCAATTAGGCGATAAGAGAAGGATGTGTATTGATTTGATGCTCTATCCATCGAGCGATCGCCTAATCGCCTAATCGCACGTACGATTCGAACTATGACGTCCTAATGTTGTGTGTTGCGGAGAGGGAGAAGTCCGAGCGGGAGAGCTATAGGATCACATTTTTGACACCGATGAGATATCAGAGGAGAGGAAGGGCTGACCTTTTGGGCGGGGGGAGGAGTCAGTCCAAACGTCAAGGGGTCCTCAATGGCTCAGAACGCGGAAGTGTCTGTGATTACCAAAGTGACAGGCTCGGCTCCTGCTTCACCAGAGAGAGTCTCTATAAGGCTGAGTTCGCTCATTGCTCCAAGGAGTTTGCAGAGACAAATGGAGACAATAAATGTGCCCGCTCGGGCAATTCAATAACAAACGCCAACACGAATGATGGATGACGGGTAACCGGCTCTTTTGGCTTCACCGTTTTTGAATGGCCGCGATAGAAATGCTAACTGGGTCTGTTTTCTAGGCAACAGGGCGATATCACAATCAAAGGGTTATAACAGGCTATCAACCAGTATCATCCTTGTTTTCCATTTTCTTGGAAACTTCGAGATTCGCAGTTGGTGGGCTGCTATAGCGCAAACCAGGACGAGCAAAGAGCTTGGATGACCTCACAGAACTCACGCACAATGTTTCCCAGATATATAGGGGCTATCCTCCTACGCCCCCCCCCATCTCGTCACCGCCCAGCCATTACTGCTTGGTGACAGCAGCTTTCACAGAGCGCAATATTCGGCGTGGGTTATCCAAATTGGTACAAGGGTCCGGTTTGAGAAGACTTACCTGAAAACTTCAAGAACCGGTCGAAACAGCTCATGAACACGGCCGTCAGTTGTGACGTGTCGACGCTTCCGTTCTTTCAGCTTGAACATCAGAATCGTTGTCGAAACCACTACCAACGTCACTCCGATGACTAATTTAGTGATGGTCCATAGCACTCCTAGCCACATCTGGAAAAAATTGAGAATTCTAGGGCATTGAAGGGGACCAGAGCAGAGGAATCAGGAAATAGTTGTGACAAATTTTGCACCGGCGCTTGAACTTCTTGCGACTTATCGAGCAAATAACGCATGAATCACAACGAGCAAACATGACGCGTCATTAAAGCACAGACGAATTGTCGAGAAAAGGAAGGGCAAAGAAGCGCAGAAGAGTTCCCCATTGCACACGCGAAGTGACCCCAAGGCTGTCACCAATTTGTGGAGCGCCGTAGCTACGGATTGACTATGGCAACCGCGCTGTCCATTTTCGAAGCACTGTGATGCTCTGGTGCCTGCTGTTTGGGAACCGAAGACTTACAGCAAGGATCAGTAGCCACCGGCTTAGGCTAGACGAAAGCCGGACCGTTTAGTAGGGTGAGCCGAGTGAAATAAACCCTACCCGACTTTCACTCAGAAGGAAGGCTTATGTTGTTTTTTTTTGTAGCATACACAATCTCAACTGATTGTACATAATTCATTTTTCAATACAAAGTCCAGATAGCTTCTCATGGCTAGCAAAAATCATATTTAGCTGTTCCTCAGGAATTGCATGGATGGAGAGTTTACCACGCGGCACTTGGGATTCACTATTTATCACTTAAATCCACAGCTAACGGTAGTTGCGTGGCATTTGCGCTCCAAGTGTAACAAAAAAAGGAAGTGTGAAATGAGAATGAAAGGAACGGCACAAGCAGAAAAAGCCTCAACCGTATACAACCTCAAAGCTCTCTTCCGTTTTAGCACCCCATTTGATAATTGGACCATAGAGGCGTAGTTTCTCGAACCGCTGAATGATGTTCGCAAGCGTTAAACAAGCAACTCTCGCCACTGCCTGAATTGGGCTCCTACACTACACTTTGCCGGCGTATCGGCCGATGGGGGGGTCAATTGTGTCGGTATTGCACTTTAACGCCCTAGCGCAAAGCGAAAGTGAAAAGCGCCTTATATCAGCACAAGCCTCAGAATAGGCGTGAAGCAGTGACTTCCAGGGCCATCTCTCATCTCACTGATTCCCGACTTCCCTCCGGCTCAGTCCCAGAAGATGCACCCGTTAATATTAACCAGTTGGCGCCGCACGCATTGCGCGCACAACACAGATCTGCGGCGAATTTTGATGGTGCGACGAAAATTTTCAAATTTGGCTTGATACACCACGAATATCTGAATTCTCAGCTAAATTCTATCCGCTCCATCATCGACGGCTTTCAACCTCTTTTTCTTCGTCAACCATTATCCTCTTTTTCCCGGTCTCCGGACTGCTTCCGGACAATAAATCTCGTGGCAAACTCCGCCTACTTCGGTGCGTGCCCCGCCCACCAACAGCATTTGGCCCCCTTCTTTCACCAACCTAAACTCCGTTCCCTGATGTGTGTTTTGTATTACGTGAGACCTTGCCCACCCATCCCACACTTGACCCGGTCCCTCCAGGCGGATCCCGAGGAGCTAGGGAATTTCGTGACAGACATACAGAACGACAGACAGAGAGACAGACAGAACGACAGACGAAGCGCTTTATAGTAAGTAGGATAGAGCCCTCAGCTGTTTTCTAGAAAAAATTTCACTCCCAAGTCCAATTTTCATTTTTATTTGCAGATCATGGTTATCCACCATAAGATTTAGTTTAAGACAAGCGAGAAGCAATGACATAATAGTGCCACAAGACAGCTTTGTTTCTGCAATTGCCCTAGATACTGAATTACTTCATTCTAAACGAAGGCTGGAGTAGCAGTTCAGAATTGCCACCATTATGACTAGGTAATTCAACTCCAACTATGCCGTTGCTATTGCTAGAATGCTGCACGACTAACCTACGTGGATGTAAATAGCACACACTCCTCACGGCCGCTCCAAATACTAAAGCTCAAAATTGTGAAAGACTCAGACAATGGACTGAAATCATGCCGTAACCAACGAAATGCTACCCCTGATAACATTTTGGGCTTTATGCTTGGCAGTGATGTGTAAAAGCCAGAAATAAGCTACTTTGAAAGGGCAGCACGTTTCGTGACAGGCTCTGAGGGCAAAAACATTGCGTCCACTGGAATACTGACTAAAGCATGCGCCGACCTCTATGACTTCGATGCCTCTATTGTGTTATTGGCAATGTCTGGTCTCGTTTGTACAACTAAATGCTCTTATCTTCTCCTACTCCTGTTTTTCCTCGACAGCAAAGTAATCTTTCACCGTCGTCTCATGCACACGTCCTAAATGACGCTCACCATTTTGCATTTATTGTCTTGTCCCAATCCCTTCATTGACGATGCACTTTGCTCCCCAACAACCTCTCATTTTTGACCGTAAAATGACCCCCAGGTAACCTTGAATGTGCATTGAATCTCTCATCACATGTCAAATTCAAAACGAAACACGACGCTAACTGCGTTCCTCCTCTTCCCAGATGGCGCTAGGTTACTCCTGACGGCTGCTGTCAACAACTTTACTGACCGACAGATCGAAAGCATTGAAAATAAATATTTATTAATATATTTATGTCTACTTTGCTTAGAGCTCTGTAACATCACAACTAATCATCACCATGCCGCTGGCCATGCCATGTTTTATTGAGTCAACCTTTCCCATCTTTAGGCGGAACCCTGCTCAGCAGCGGAACGCTAGAAATAAGAACAAAAGACTTTCCCCCTCTCGCTTCAGATGCATCCTGTCTAATAAATAGCCTGCCGCCTAGTTACTACTATAATACGAACGGAATTACTACACTTGCTCTACAACTGCTAGGACTCTTTGCCTTCCGCATCCTGGGGCTGTAAGCACCAATCATGCGCTGCGGGTAACCTCAGAGGTAGAGATTGGCGTATACGCCCCAGGGGTCAAGTCTTATCCAGAAGCGATATCTTGAAGGCTATCACTCAAACATGGCGAACGTATTTGGACCCGCATAGGAGCATTGCCAAAACTGGGAGGTATTATTAATATGTCCGCGATCACATCACGCGTTTACGTAGGAGTATTAGTGAAAAGATACCGTATCGATTGGGCCGATCAACCGGAGAGGACGACCAGTAATGCACAGAAATAGTCGACTTCTATCTCCGCTCGCCCGGAAAGCGATCGCCAGATAGCCTATTCGCTCACCCGCCTTTTTGTCTGATAGATACGCATTTTTTGAATGCTCACCAGTCGGCTAATAGCCTAATCGCATGTGCAATCGCGAACTATGAACGTTACACGTTGCCTCAGGAACGGCGGCTATGATGCGACGCTGCGCGACCGCGATCGTCTGCAAGGTGATAGATGCATCAGGCCACGGTGATAGGATACTACAGTTTTTGATAAGGCCGAATCGAAATTTAAATTTGATTCACCTCGCCCTTTCAACGTTTTAAATTTCGTTCTTATCCCGTCCGTTTCGACAAGACCATGAAGTGAGCAAAAAAAACCATCAAATCAGCAACCCATGAAATACCATAAGCGTCACAATCGAGAAGAAGTACAAGAACAACCCTATGAGGTACACTGTAGGGACAGTCGCTGTGGTACAGTGCCCTTAATAAATTACTAAATTACACACTTCTCAAACTCAGATATGTGGAGTTGTCACCACATCATACATGGCATGAAGCAATCGGATGTACGTTCTCGCAGTGTCACCGAAACCGACCTGGAAAGGTGAATCATTTGACGAAAGCGATTTCATTCGTGAAGCCTTTCAGATGACTCAGCGCAGCAATCCCTTACCTTGAGCGCATTGCTCATGTAGGCAAAGGTCAAGTTGTTCTTCAAATCCGTCCGTACATTTTGGCCACCATATCCAGAATGGCCCAGCATCTCAAATGTCCCCTGAAATTGAGCACAGTTGTAGCGTAACGAGCACGTTAGAGGAAATTTTAAAGGCACAGTCCACGAATAAAATGATGACACGCCTCCTCATAATAGGTAGTTCGGGTTCACAATCGCAGATTTAGCGCCACTATCGCCATTTAAAAGCGTGTGACGAGAGACCTCAGCGCTTATGACTTCTTGCATTGTTGCTTTGATGACTGCGTCTCGCTACTCTCCTTATTCTTTCGTCTCGATGCCTAGCTTTCTTTGCTTCCGGAACCCGCCCAGCACCCCAAAAGTGTTGATTTCAGTATTTTTGGCAACTTACTTTTCCTTTTCCACAGTGGTTTCATTTTCCAAGATCAATAACCACCTCTAGGTTATCGTGGACTGTGCCTTTAAATCTAATAGGTGCATCGTACATTTTTGTGATGGAAATGCTTGATCATCAAGCCTTGTCCCCGTGGAACATACGCTCCAGTCACGATATCCCTTTTCAAGACGTAATCACTTGTGAACTTCTTGAACGTTTCTGCACTCATCAATTCTCCGAGTCTGAAAAAAGCGGAATTTGCATTTTTTGAGGGAATGGCGATACAAAGCGATTACCGTAGCTTTTCGAAGAGCTCTGCCATTGCGCGAGCTGTACCAATGCCAAGAACGCCCGCTTGTTCAATCCCGTACAGATCTGGATCATTCAGGGTCAGGTCCTGAACATTTAATTTACTTATTTACAAGAAACTATGAACCCCTTAAACTAATAAGGACCTCTTCGTCCGTTGTTGGCCGAAAATGTGAAAACGAATAGCAGCATAAAACTGGGTTCGGTTCACCTTAACAAACGCGATCCATGGTACATTGTGACCAACTTTTGAGAGAAGACCATCAGTTAGCATTTGATAAACGAATCTGAAGTTCTGTAGTATGTGATGGGCAGGAAGATGACAGAACCGTTTTAAAAAAATACCCAACTCCCGTAACGCTCTTCCAGCCGGTTCTGGAAGAGTAGGGAACACTCCCAAGCCCTATGTAGCTCCAATTGGTTCACTCGAAAATCTACCATATTCATGGAAAAAGCTATGGTACCCTAGGGAGGTGACCGCGACCATCTTCTAGTATCCTTAACGAAAAGAGCAGAGGCCATATGCAGTAAGCCCTGAAGGTCTTCGATACATCCCCGACGACCCTCAGGGCTTGTTGATCACGATCTTCGGGGATATATTAACAACGACACTTGGGCTCACTGCGTACGGCCTCAGGTAAATTATAAGGTCCATTCCAATAAAAGTGGCCTACAGAGGGATTTTCGGTGTTGATTTCAACCAG